AAAATAATCAATACTTAGATATTGATTATGGTTATCAAACAGAAAAACCCAACTTAGCTACTGATAATCCATATCATGCATTTTTCACACAAGATGATGCCAGTTTAGTAGATGAAAATACAAAAAAATATTTTGCTCTCTTTGGTCAAAAGGTTAGAACTGAGAAACCAACCCAAGTAACATCACAATCAAAACTTCAAAGTAATAAAAATGACAATAAGATATCAATTATTGATGACATATTAGTTAACTTTAAACAGCCATTGCCAACTAACAATTCTAAGTCAAAAATAACCACGGTCCGACCTTATTACAATTATCATCAAATTTCTTTGCATGATGATATAAGTGTAAATTTTAAAGAAAAACATCCACAGATCAATCCTGAAGCCGAGATAATATCCCAAAATTCAAATGATTTTAAAGAAAATTATCCATATTCTATTGATGCTGGAATTATCTATAATCAACGGTTACCACCTAAAAATATTGATACAGATCAAATAATTAAAAAACCTTTAATCCAAACTTCACTACAAAACAACGCTCCAGTGAATTATAATCAACCTCTACTACAAAAAACTCCAAATTTAGAACCAATTACAAAAAGACCATACTTAAATATACATCAACCATCACTCTTAGATGACACTCAAGTAAATTACAAACAACCAATACCACCAATAAATTTAAATGCTGAATTTGTTACTCAAATACCACTATATAGATTACCATCATTATTTGAAGGAACCAATATGAACTATAAACAACCTTTGAGATCTGAAAATCCAAATTTAGAACAAATTACTCAAAGGCCATATACACAAATAACCCAATCTCCCTTACATGAGGATATAAATTATAATTTGGATTCTTCATTTGTAACACAGAATCCAAATTCAGAACATGTTACTCAAAATGTATACAAGCAGGTATCTCAAACACCATATTATAGTGATACTAAAATGAATAATAAACACCAAAARCAAATCCATTCATCAACTAATCCAAATATAGAACTGGTTACACAAAAACCATACAAAAATGTTCCAGAAACTTCAATACATGATGGGATTAAAGTAAACTATAAGCCACAGAAATATTCAAATARTGGAGTAGTCACTCAAAGACCCTATATTAAAGTATTAAACACTCAATACCTTGAAGACGCACGAGAAAATTATCAACAAACAATATTTCAACAAAATCCAAATATTGAAGCAATAGAAAAAAGACCACGGATTAAGTTTCCTCAAACATCACTGGTTGATGATGCTCAATTTTATTTTAAAAGACCATTGCCATTGAGAAATCATGATACAGAATATTTTACTCAACAACCTAAATCTATATACTCACAGACACCAGTGACATTAATTGATGATGTTCAAGTAAACTATAAACAACCATTGCCAACAAAAAATATTGATTCAGAATATAATATAGTATCAACACAAAGACCATTAAATCGTGTAGTTTCATACAATTTACCTGGAAATAGCGGAAGTCATTTTTTCTTTTTAACAACTCACACTGGACATCCCATACAATATAATTTAGGTAGTCATAATTATCAATAYTATAAAAGAAATGTCAAATAAAGGTTTAACACTAATTGTATTTAATTTTTTTTTAAGCATTGAAATTGAAATGCAAAAAGTTATAATTTAACCATTTATATTGTGGATACATTTCATACAATCAAATAAACATTTAATATTGTTAAAGAAAAGACTGTATTATGTAATATGAATTAATTCTTATGTAAGATACAATATTATTAGTGTTTAATTAATTTGACATATTATGGAACTAAATTCATTTTTTATTTTTGATTAATGGTATTATTCTTTAGGAAATAAATCTATTAGTAATAGTGAAAGTAAATTATTGTATCACATTTTAGTTAATATGAATTGAAATAAACTTAAGGTGTACTTCAATATATTTATTTAATGTTGTGTCATAATTAAAAAATATAAGAAACTATTTTACTATTATTTTTTTTTGTTTAAACCAAGTTGTAAAAAAAATTTGATGAATCAAGGATATTTGATAATATTTTTTTTCAATTTGTATAAGCTTAAAATATTATCAGACATCAATTTGTATTTTTGAGTATACATTATATTATGTAAGAAATTTTTTCTATTTATTAATAAACATTAAGTATATATCAAAATAATAATTGTAGCATAATAAATTAAAATCATTTATCAATAAAAAAATATAACAATGAAATTAATATTGAAACACGTCGAGTAGGTATACAGTAAACAATATACTGTATGATGCTTCTTTTTATTCTAGCCATGATGCAAAACAAACTTAAAATACAATTTAAAATGGATTTAAGAAGTTTAAAATATTTGGTACTTGCTTGCCATTCCAAGCCATTAGTGTGTTAGTGTCATATTTACCACCCTGCCACCAGGTGATTAATCATTATAATATGGACCATAGTCTATGGTATATTTTTATGCACGTACAGATACAAAAGTTTAAAATATGAATAAATAATAATAACATGTTGTTCACAATTATTATTAATTAAAGTTAAAATTAGAGTTAAAAAATAAAAGAAAATAAGTACATTTTCTAAAACCCTTTAATGTCACACAATTTATTGGTTGTAAAAATATAATGCCTGTATAAATATGGCAGGGAATAACTTATTAAGAATTACTTTTTAATAATACCTTAAAATAAATTAAAAATATTTTAAAGATACACATGCATTTGAAATTACACTACCTACAATGCAGTGACAACTCCACAACATGCTAAGATGATTATAAATTTATAACTTATAAAATTATAAAACAATAAAATATAATTTCAAATATTTTAACAGTTTTTAYCATTTTCCATAAAAAAATTGCATACTAGATAATATACAAGTGCAAGTAAAATATTGAGATACAGAGAAATATTGATCACAATCCATAAATAACAAAATTATAAGTTTGTTATGTGTGAGTGTGTGTGTGATAAAGTATAGAACTTTAACTTCCAGATACCAA